CTCAATGAGTTGCCAAATGGTATGTTGTGGTAAGGGGTCTTTAATCTAGCAATCTGAGCAGTGGGCTGGCTTTTTGGTAAGGAAATGGGCTTTATATCATGATAGTCTGAGTTATATATTACCCTATTCTTTGTGGAGTCAGTAGAACAGCATGTTGTACTTATAGTTATTAAATTAAAACCATTGCCCTTAGCTACAGTTGTTTGTAGGCTCCATGCAACCAGATTTTGGTTATAAAATTTCTGCCACTGGGACTCCATTTCAGGAAGAAATCAAGGCCTGACAGTCCCTGAGATCGAGAACAGTATTGTAGAAAACTGCAGTAATGAACACAGTGTAGTGTTAGGAAAAGAATAGGCAAACAAATCAATGGAGCAGAATAATAAGACCAGGAAAGTATGCCCAACTAAATATATCAACTCATCTGTTACAAAGAGGGAGTCAGTACACTGGATAAAAGATAGTGTTTTCAACAATTGGTGTTGGAAGATCTACACAGCCGATGCATAAGATACCTAAGTCATCATATAAGTTGTGTGTAAGATGTATGTAGACATGTCCTTCACAAATATGTTAATTTCGAAATTGTCCAAATGGATCACAGATCTGAAGGTTATAAAACAAACCTATCAGACTTCTAGAAATAACAGTGAATATTTCTGAAATGTAAGGAAAATTCAAAGGAATTAAAACAGAGACCACATAATGGAAGTAAAGTATTTTCAAAAGCTATATATGAATAGAACTGACAATGTGGCCAACATGGTGGTTAAGGTGGCTGGATCCCACATGGTCAACTACCCAGTTCAAATACTCTACTCCTTGGTTTCATAAAATGCACTTAGCGATTGTGCTTACATGTCAAATCACAAAATGAGGAAGAATGTTGAAGAGGTAATTGCTGCGTGACCTCCCCCCAGTGTGAGGAGGGTGCTTTCTCACATTCCGTCAATCTGCCTATGTGTTTCTTTCCAGTGAATACATGTTCTGCATAGCAAAATAGAGAGAAAAAAATGTATATCTATATTTTATATATATGTATATTATATGTGTATATATGTGTGTATATATACATATATGTATACATGATTAAGAGCCACTGAGTCCCTGTGTCTTGTTGGTAAAGGGAGTAAGTTCCCTCAATGCTGACTCCAAGTTAAAGCCCAGCCCATGTGACTTCAAAACCACACCAAGTAAATGTGTATAGGTACCTATAATCTAGACAAAGAGGAAGCATGGAGGAGTAAGGGTTGAGGTATCAAAATTACTTATTGAAGGGTACTTTCTCTTTCTCCTTTTCTTTCTCTCTCTGTCTCTATCTGGTAAGCATAGGAACCTTTTGAAAAAATTTTTAAAAGGCAAGAAAATAAATAACATGCACCATATAGAAAGAACTATTAAAACTCAACAATCAGGAAAATTACATATCAAACCAAAAATCTTAACAGAGACCTCACAAAGAAAACATTTATATAGCAAGAAAAATATAAAAAGATGTTCCAATTCACACGTTACCAGGAAAAGGCAAATTTAAACAATAATGAGATACTACTACATACCAATGAAAATTGATTAAATCCAAACACTGAAAGCACCATGTGCTGATAAGGATTTGGAATGACAGGAACTTTCTTTCCTTATTGAGAATAAAAAATGGCGCAAGCTGGCACATGAGTTTGTTCATATGCTCAAGCAGATTTTTATGGCCGAGTGCTCTACAAATCCTAGTGTAGGCAGTTTGAAAAATGTGATGGGTGGCTGTGCATGAGAGTTCAAAGCCTGACAGAGTTGAGGAATGGAGGAGAAGGAATTACAATATGACCATGCCACACTGAGGGGTTCATATTCTGTGCTTCTCTCTTTCTCACTCATTACTCTTCTCCCTGGGAGGGCAGGCACCAACAGATCATTTTTCAGATGAGACAAACAACAACTCCGGAAAACTGTTCAGGATTTCTCACAAAAGTGCACAGATTCTTTCATATGATCCTGTAATTATGCCCCTTGGTTTTTTAACCAAACCATTTCACATCATATGTCCACACATAATTATAAATGTTCTTATGAGCTTTATTCACCATTTCTAAAACTTAGAAGTAGTCAATATATCCTTTGATAAGTCATGGATATATTAAACATTAATTGTTTTCAATTTTTTTTGAGAGGTTTTTGTTATAGGGCAGAGAGAGGACAGACAGAGAGAGACAGAGAGACAGAAAGCGAGAAATTACCCCCCAGGGGAATGGCCATGCCGCAATCCCTTCTCCTCCATTCTCCTTTCGGGATCTTGGGCACGCACGCACACGTGCCTGGCGTGAGTTTAAACCGCGGGGTCCGGGGCTCGAACCGCGGTTGACTACGTGGGAGTCCAGCGACATAGCCATTACGCTAACTGCTGGTCCCCCCAACTAGGTCTTGATGCCACAATGCACCCCAGCTTCAGCCAGCCCCAGATCATGGGCATGTGCATGCCCAGAAGCCCAGAATACTCAGGGCGGGCTCTGGTGTAAACCTGGAACCTTACCATGTGGGACAGTCTGGTCCACTGCGCACCATCCAGCCCCATGGCTGACACACAGCCACGTGCACTGTCACACAAATATGCCTTACACGTAGATCATTATCCATGATAAGTATAACCAGAATGATAACACAGCATAGATAACACTCATTCTCAGCGTTCTACGTGTGAGCTAACTGAGCAGGTACCATTGGCCATCCTTTTACAGATGGGGAAACAGTGGCTCCAATCTATGTCGTCACTAGCCCGAGGGCCCAGAACTGGTAGTAAGTGGCAGTCCCAGAGCTCAGACCCAACCTGACGCTGATAATGACAACAACATTAGTGGTGGCTTCGGGCACGTTAACTTGGATACGTTAACAGTTCACAGGCTTCTGCAAAAGTGACTGTCCCTCCCCAGAGTGGGAGCAGTGTGAGTGCGATGGCCAGCCTCCCACACCCGCCCTCAGCCCGAGTGCAGTGCCCGCTTGCACTGGGTGCTCTGTGTTTGTGGGTATCTTGGGCCGACTTGGAAGGGGATACATTGTGGGTATCTTGGGCCGACTTAGAAGGGGATTTTTCTAGTCAGGAGCTTGGATTTTCTTAAGGGGAATTTGATGAGTGCTATTAAGCCAAGGACATGAGATGGCCAGAAAGTAGGACTGGGGACACTCACATGATGACTGTCCCCAACCCTCTCACTCTAGCACCTCGCCCTTGTCCCCTAGGTCTCAAAGTGAGCATGTGCATGTGTGTGTGCATGTGTGTGTCTTTTCCCAGACACAGTCGTTTATCAGAAGCCCAGACTTGAAAAAATGTCTGTTCACAGTAATCAGAGATTACTGTGTAGTCGTGGAAACGCTAGGGTCCCAGGAACCTTTTCCAGAATATCCAGGCCCATCAATTGAAGTAGCATCAGGATAAGGTGTCTTTCTCTCTGTCCTGTCCTCTTCACCTTTTGTGAAACAACCGACCAACCAAACACACCCTACCTCCTCGGGCCTGGCAGTCCTGCTCTCTGGGGTGGCAGGTGGCAGCATGCAGGTGTTCAGGGGACAGTGGGCTCAGGCAGGCAGCAGAGGCCTGGTGCTGAGGCCGGTCTTCCTCTTATGGTGTTCCAGGGCAGAACTGCTGGGTTGGCTGATCCCACCTCGGGGTGTGGAAGGCGGGGACATCTAGCTGCTCTGTGTGTGTACACGCCATGCCACTAATTTCTCCGCCTGGGGGATTTGATCAGGAACTTCGCTGTTAACACCATCAAGTGTGCCAAGTGGGAGCTGAATGTCACACAGACCTGCGAACGCACACGTGAGCCGTGCCCACATGAGGACAGCATGGCCCTGGCAGTGCCTGGTGTTTGAGACAACCTTGTGCAGTGTGTGGATGACTCAGGCTGCCCTTCCAGCAGAAAAACCCGAATGGAATTCCACACAAACTAATTTTGAGTTTAAAGGAAAGGTGGTGATGGTGGTGATGGGCATGGTTTTAAGTTCAGTTCTGTGGTTTTCTTGTGAAGTAGAAGAAATCAAATACTTTGGATCCTCCTGTCTACTCTGCGTGTTTCTGTGCCCACGTAGGCTCGTGTGCGCACGTGTGCGGTAACAGCCAAGGCTGTGGCGGTTTGACTGTGGCCTAACTAGATTTCGTCTTTCCTAACGATAACCTGTGACCTTTTCAATCATCTGAGAAACAAGTGGTCTTCCTTAATGTTCCAATGACGTAAGGACAGAGGAGGTGTCAGGTGAAGGGGTTTACAGACGTGCTCTCTGCTCCCCTCTGAGCTCGCTTTAGAATGCTCTGTTCAGGCCTCGCTTCGGCACCATATATACGGAAATTAGAACAATTCCGAGGAGGTGAGCATGGCCCCTGTGCCAGGATGACGTGCAAATTATGAAGTGTTCCATATTTTTGTGTTTCATGAAAAAAAAAAAAAAGTTCTACATCAAGATAAAAAAAAAAAGTTCCATTTAAACTATTACGTAAAACGTGACCCTCCCTGTTTTGAGGGACACCAGCATTTTAATCAAATTTTGGCTTACTAAAGGATCAAAACCTTGAGAAAAAAAGAGTTTCTTATTTTTCTTTTTGAAATTTGTGGTACAGGGTGAAGAGACTGAGTGAGGGAAACTGAGGCCAAGCCCAGCATGCTTCTCTGTCTTTGCCCCGAAGCATCTCCCATGTTACAGATGGGAAGCTGGCCTAAAGACCTTAAAGCTCATTTTCCTTCCATTGTCAGAGGTTAGGAGGCCATGGCTCCCAGTCGGGGCTGCTACAAAAGATGATCCCAGGGATCCGGAAGCTCTTAGCAAGCTGCAGCTGGGAGGCTCTGGGCAGGGCCACGTCAAAACAGGCCAGGAGCAGGCCAGGGACATAACTCAGTGCTTCCTCCGTAACCAGGGTTAGTCTGGTATCGTCAGATAACTGGCTTTCAGATGGAAAGACATTAGATGTCCCCACAGACGACTTCCTGAGGCGTTTTAGGGCTTCCTCAGGGGAGAACAGCAGGGTCACTCATTGCTCCGGGGTGCGCCGGGGCCATGCCTGAGCCTCCTGTGCTCAGCTTCCTCATCACATCTGCCAGGTTTTCAGTCCTCCTCCTGAGCCTGGCCTACAGTGGGCAGTTAATAAGTATCAGCATCACCCACTAGCAGAGCCAGGAGCGTCTCCAGGAAAGCGCAGGCTAGTCACTGCTGGCTGGCCGCTCTGAGCTGACAGACGGGGCTGTGGTCATGTTTAGGTGATTCGGCTGGGAAGCGTTAAATGCTCAGAAGGCTCGGACAGTTTCACTAGAAGAAAAATTACAGTTGAACCCTGTGTAGTGTTAATCTGACCCTTAAATGAAAAGCTATATTCAATTCCGTAAAATGTCAATCAAATCATTTACGTCTCCCACCCATTGCAGTGCGTCACAGAGTGCTGACAGCTTAGGGGGACAGAGTCACAATGACAGTTATGACAGTGCAGTCAGCTGACCACGTGACCTCAGAACTGGGCCATGCGAGGAGAGCCGGGAGGGGCTTCAATGGTCAAACTGCTTTGAGCTGAGTTTTGGAAGATCTCAGGGATTTAGCTGCGTGGGGTGGGGAGAGGAGAAGGAAGCAGTGGGAGGGATATTTTTCAGGCGTTCCAGAGGTGGCTGGCTCTCCCTAGCATGTGATGTCCAGAGGTCCAGGTGTTTGTCTTGAGGTCCAGTAGGTGAGTCAGTCCACGTGCTCAGGGCCAGGGTGGGTTGTGAGTGGAGCTCTTCCCTTCGAGACAAAGTGGTACTCTCAGGGAAGGCCAAGCCCAGGACCTCGGGACGAGCCAAGCCTACAGCGGGCCATGACTCCTGCTTGCGTACGTGTAGGTCGACTTTGAAAACCAGGCCCCTTGGCCCACAGCTGCGTGCACCTGGAGGAAAGGCCAGGCCCAAACACGTCCTGATGAGAAGAGCCTCAGGAGAACAGCCCCCTCTGGGTCATCTCTCAGCAATTCCCAAATGGAAGGTCTATTTGTGGCGACCCCATGACTGCAGATTGGCTTTTGGAATCAGAGACACCCCAGCTGACAGCCGGCAGCCATGGAGTTCACATCAGGCCACTGTGTTCCAGGCCTTGAGAGAGGACTGCCACCAAACTGAGGCTCACAGGCCGTCCCACATCCTCCTGCTACTGGGGCGAGTATGTGACTCGCCTTGTGTGGAGTTTTCAAATCACAGATGACTTTTCCTTTTATCTTCCTACCTTCATTAAATAATCTGTCCCATCTTAAACTTTTTACTTATTTATGGGTAAGGGTCACCCAACAGGTCTGGTCACAGTGCGAGCTCCTTCCCCAGCTCTCTAGCTGGTCGGAATCTTAGGTGCACATGTGGGGCTGGTGTGTCTCAGGTCACCTCGGGTGAAAAGCTGCCATCAGCCACATGGGTTCTGGCACTGCAGGTCAGTGTGCTACTGTCTGCACCACCATGGCTGGGCCTGAATCTTTAGAAAAGAAAACCTGTATTAACATAGGCTCTGGAAGCAATCTTGAGGTTCGGTAAGAACTGGTGGTAGCATTAAGAAGAATTAAAATAAACTTAACTCATTTATTTTGAAGAGGAAATCTTTAAAATGAATTAAGTATCTTTTCCTTTAATTAAAAATTATTTACTTACTGGTCATTTATTCTTTTTAAGTTTTGCCTGTAGGGTGCATGCACTCACCAGAGAGAGACAGAAAGATGGAAAGGGAGAAATCACCCACCAGGGAGACTGGCTATTATCCCCCATTTTCCTCTTGGGATTTTGAGCACACACACACACACACACACACACACACACACACACACACCCAAGG